TTAATAACTTTATATATAATATTTTTTAATTACTTTTTAATAAAAACTTTCTAAACAAAGTGATTCTCAAACCAGAGAAACCTAATTAGGAAGGGGGAAAATCAATCTGGCTTTAAAATGGTTTGATTTTGAAAAGCAAAATTGGGCTTAAGATGCTCAACCCAAAAAGCCGAAACCTCATGTTTCTCCATTTAAACAGGCCCAATTCCAGACAGTAAATCTGGCCCAAGCTAAATTACAGGAAAATGATGACAGAAGATGGTGTAGTTAAGTCGTGGCAAAGAAGAAAAGAAGCCACTTTGAATTTGGAAAAATATGGTATCTACAAAACGTAAAGAGAGAAATTTACGCGAAAGAGGAAAGAGGAACCCTTTATTTTATTCCTCCTCTTCCCTCATCAGTTCGACTTATTTGATTGGAAAAGAGACTATTCTTTTCTTAGAAGAGGAAATATGCTATGTATTATATATATCTAGTCCAAAGAAATCTAAGATGCTACCATAAAGGAATGTTACATCAACTGATCAACTAATTAACAACACTGGAGGAGAAGAATATTTATGTTTTAAGAACAATAATATGGGGTGGTCCTTTATGTTTTCCTCCTCATCACGCATCCCTTTATCTTTTTCTTCATTCGTTGGACAAGCACCAATCTTCAACCTTCACCTTCTATTGTTTGCATGTATAAATTTTGCCTGTAGCTATTCTCCTCCCCCGTCACATTATTCTCTCCTCTTTTGTGCTGTACAAACTCCAAACATTTCTCTCTTCCAAACTACTGAAGCGAATATGGCTGATCTTCTTCTTGGTCCTCTTGTGGATGTCACAACATCCAAGGTGATTTCAGTTACTACCGAGCAACTCAACTTAGCAGTGGGATTCAAGCAGGAGCTCAAGAAGTTCCGTGTCGTGCTGAGAATGCTAAGGGGTGTGCTGCAAGATGCTGAGCAGAAGGAGGTGACAGGTCACTTTGATCTGCAGGATTGGCTTAAGGAGCTTGGAAATATAGTTGATGAAGCTGACAATGTGGTAGATGAGATTGCATATGAACATCTAAGGTACAAGGTAGCTAGAAAACAAATGTGGAAAAAGGTCAGCTATTTCTTTACTCTTCCCAATCCTTTAGCTTTTCGCTTTAAGATAGCTAACAGGATTAAGAATTTAAATTCAGACTTAGCTGACCTTAATGTTTGGGCCACTGGGTTAGGGCTACAATATAGACTTGCAAGCAAGCATCCTGAACATATTGAAACCCAACAAACAGATTCCTCAATTAGTGATCCATCAAATATTGTAGGAAGAGAAAATAAGGTCCTAGAAGTTGTTCAATCATTGATTGACTCAAGTAATGATCAACCTCTCCTTGTTGTATCCATAGTGGGTATGGGAGGCATAGGCAAAACTACTATGGCCAAACTAGTGTGTAACAATGAGAAAATACAGAGTCATTTTTTCAAAATAATGTGGGTTTGTGTTTCTGAAAATTTTAATTTGAAACGAATTTTAGTAGAGATGTTGCAAGCTTTTGGTGAAAATGTTTCTATGGATGTAAGTCAAGATCTTGTACTTCAAAATCTACAGAAAAATTTGAGGGAGAAAAAATTGGGGGAAGAAAAATTGAGGGAGGAAAAACTGGGGGAAGAAAATTTGAGGGAGGAAAAATTGAGAGAGAAAAATTATCTTCTCATATTAGATGATGTATGGAATGAAGATGGACAAAAATGGGAATCCTTAAGGAGGTGTTTGTTGGAAATAGGTAAAAATGTTGGGAGTAGGGTTCTTGTCACAACTCGAAGTGAAAAAGTAGCTTCCATAATGGGAACACTTTCTGAGCACAAGCATCATCTCGAGAAGCTAACAGATGAAGATTGTTGGTCCATAATCAAGCAAAGAGCATTTGTCGGCTCATCATTCCCTCCAGAATTGGAGAGGATTGGAAGGGATATTGCTAGCAAATGTAGAGGTTTAGCATTAGTTGCAAATGTTATTGGAAGGAGTTTGTGCAATAATAGGAAAAAGGATGACTGGTTATCAATTAAAGATAATAGTGAAGAATGGGGTTCAGTAGAAGAAGCTAATGGAGTTTTACGTGTGCTACAGTTGAGTTTCAATCGCTTGCCAACACCTGCTTTGAAACAATGTTTTGCTTTTAGCTCTATTTTCCCTAAAGATTCTGTCATGGAAAAGGAGATGTTAATACAGCTCTGGATGGCTGAAGGATTTCTTCAGCCTCTTAGTGAAAGATACATGGAGATGGAGGATATTGGTGATAGGTATTTTAATGCATTGTCATCATATTCTTTATTTCAAGATGTTGAAAGAGATTCTTATGGGAGCATTATTGCTTGCAAAATGCATGATTTAGTTCATGATCTTGCACAATTTGTTTCAAAGTCCCAAACTTTGATTTTGGAAGATGGCAGCGGAAGGAATAATCCTGCAGACATTCGACATTTAAATGTCATTTCTGATAAGGGTATGGCAGCAACAAAATTTGGGGATGCCACTAAAAAATTGCACACTTTGTTTTCACAAGTTGATGTCTTTCACAGTATGTCCATGAACTTGAGAAAGGTGCGGGTTCTTAGTTTTTGCGGTGCTAATATTGATCAGTTGCCAGCTTTTTTGGGGAAAATGAAGCATTTAAGGTTCTTGGATGTTTCAAGAACTAAAATCAAAGAACTTCCCAAATTCATCACCAAGTTCTATCATTTGCAGACATTTAGATTTATGGATTGTAACTATCTCAAAGGGCCTTTGGAAGGTATATGGGAATTAGGCCATTTGAGACACATCTATTTCAATGATGAAGAGCTTATGCCAGCTAGGATTGGTGGACTAACTTGTTTGAAAACATTACAATTATTTGTTGTGGGCCGACAAAAGGGACGTCAAATTGAAGAATTGAGATGTTTAAGCCAACTCAGGGGAAAATTAAAGATTTGTAATTTGCATATGGTTAAAGACAGAGATGAAGCCATGGGAGCAAGACTTTCTGAAAAGGCTACAATTCAAGAGTTGCATTTGGTGTTTGGTTGGAAATCCTATGGTAGTGAAGATAGATGCAAACATGATGAAGATATCTTGGAAGGCCTCCAACCTCATTCAAATTTGAAAGGCTTAATTGTTGAATACTATTGTGGTAAAAGTTGTTCTTCATGGATGTTAGAAATAGAAAATTCAATGTCAGAAAGAGTGAATTTTCTTAAAAATCTGATGTTCATGGCTTTTTATGAATGTCCTTTGTTGAAAAGCATTCCATCACTTTCACTTAGCGATGAGGCAAAGGTAGAAATTAAAAATTGCAAGAATTTGAAAAGCATTACATATTTGTCCCTTCAGAAACTCATCATTGTGAAATGTGAAGAACTAGTTGAGGTAGGGGTTGGACCAGTTGCCATGAAGTCTCTCAAAGAAGTACATATAGAGAGTTGTGGTAAATTGGAAAATCTTTCGATGATTAGTAAATTACAATCTCTTGAGGTACTTGAACTTCAGCAATGCACGGAATTGAGGATGATTGGAGATGACGCTCGATTTACATCCACGTGTCTACAAGAGTTAAATATTCAGAATTGTCATAGCCTGATGTCCATGCCCAGTGTAGATGGGCTGTCCTCTCTTCAAAAAATTGAAATAGGCTACTGTGAGCAATTGAAAAGCATAGGAGAGGATTTATCTATTGCCACGTGTCTCAAAGAGTTGACTGTATGGGAGTGCAATGGTTTGATGTCCTTTCCGAACCTCCATGGGCTGTCCTCTCTTCAAAACATTGAAATAGTCTTTTGTAGGCAATTGAAAAGCATAGGAGAGGATTTATCTACTGCCACGTGTCTCAAAGAGTTGATTATAATAGGGTGCCACGGTTTGATGTCCGTTCCGAGCCTCCATGGGCTTTCATCTCTTCAAACTTTATTCATAGTGGGTTGTCGTGGATTAAGAAGTTTGCCAAGTGGGTTGCCATCATGGACTGCTCTTGAGGAATTGCGTATCTCGTACTGTTATGATCTAATCTCTATTCCAGATGATTTGAGGAGCATCCCTAACCCTGCCTGCCTTGCTCGCCTGAAGAAGCTGACTATTGGTGGTTTCTCAACAGAGCTCAAGGAATTTCCAGATCTGGGCTTCATCGGATCTCATCTTGACAAATTGGATTTGATTGCATGGGGAGAACCAGGAGAACGTCTGCTGGATCAAATTCAACACCTAACTGCCCTTAAGTCTCTCGGAATAAGCGATTTTGATGGACTGGAAGCTTTGCCAAATTGGTTTGGAAACTTATCCTCTCTTCAAACTCTGCGAATTGACAATTGCAAATCTCTGAAACATATGAAAGCCATCTGATGCCTCTCCAAATTAGAAAGCCTTCTTATTTATGGATGCCCTGAGTTAAAGGAAAGATGCACCAGAGGAAGTGGTTTCGAGTGGGACTGCATCTCTCACATTCGAAACATCAAAATAGACGACAGATGGATCCAAGGAGCTCCCATTAAGGTACCTTCAGCCTTTAACTATATATAATAGTAAATCTTTTTTCTTTAATTCCCTTGTCTTCCTGATTGATTTCAATTATGCATTTACCTTCTTTCAATCTTTTAGGTACAACTGCTAAATCTTTTTTATTTTTTCAATTTATTTATAGTACTTAGCAACTAAAACCAAATTTATTATCTATTACCATTGTTACCTACAATTCAAAAGCAAATTAAGTTGATAATTTATTTTCCCTTTCAGTATATGTAATTTCAAGTTTTAAAATGTTATACTAATAATTTCTCGATGTAAATGCTCTACTACCATTCTAAATTCCTAGTTTGCTGCATCAGGATGATGATAATGAGCAGCTGGTTGATGATAGTGAGCAGCAAGATGATGATAGTGAGCAATTACCAGTGCGGGCTACAGGGTTGAGACACTTCATTTGTTGCAGAAACTAATAAAATAGAAAGTAAAACAAGATTTTAAAATTAAAGGCTGGCATCATGGCTTGGTAGCCCAATCCAGACCACAGCCTTCAATGCTGATTGTGAGGTTGGATTTTATTTGCCAAATTAAAACCTATTATGCAATTGGTATAGAGTAGCATCAAAGTTTACCACTGAACTCATTAGTTGTATTCTAGTAGTGCATCACTTCTTTCTTCTACCGACTTAACTATGAGGAAGGTTGTTGCTTATTTTTTTAACATTTGTAAATTTGGTCCTTCCAAGCATTTTTACCTTCTCTTAATGTCTTGTATTTGCTCGTGCAGGATGAAAACAAGATTCAGAGCTAGGCATAAAAGAGGATACAATTTTAAAAAATGAAGTTGCTCAGACAAGTATTGTGAATGCTTGCAAGCCTGTCAAATGTCAATTATGTCATTCTGTATAAGATTTACTTATCTGATGTGTAGATAACGTATGTTGTGTATAAAGGCTGAATCATTTTGCAGGCCTTTGGTTCTTCAAATTAACCTGCAAGCAATCAATCTCTAAAACCTTATGTGATGTTGGTGACACCTTGCTAAAAAGGCAAGGAGCCAAGCACAACAATCATCTCAAAAACCGTGGAGACCTTTTGGATTTTTATAAGATCCATACATCAATTCAGGCAAGCTGTGCTTCTTCATAAATATTTCTTTCAAAATTTGAGTGTATCTCTATGATCTGATGCATTCTTGATTTAAAATTTTGTGAGCCTCATTTTTTTTCTTTTTTTTTTTTTGTAATATTATACTTCGGTTAGAAGTATTTTTTTGATTAATTAAATGATTTCTATTTAACAAGATATAATTTTTATTTGGCACTAATTATTTATTTCCTTAGTGCATTCCTCTAACACATCACTTCCCATTTCTTAATGTATATAGTTGCAGACTTGTAACTATAATAGATTTTGAATTCAAACTTGGAAGAATCTGCAACTGAAGGGGATTCAGACCATGAAGATAGAAATGGTAAACATGCCAGTGTAATTAGCATTTGAATTTTTTGTTCATTTAAACCATTAGTTTTTCTTTAATTTTTTAGACTGATGTTTGTGGTTATGATCTAGCTTGTTGGTTGTTTTCATTTGTCCACAGGAATGCAAAATATGGATTGGAGTTCTATTAGGTGTTATGGTTTCGATAGGGTTTAATTGCTGTATTTGTAGGCCGTCCATTGGCCTTGAAACACCTAACAAACGCTCATTGAACGAGCAAAAAGCAATTGGAAAGGCACTGTCATCAAGAGAAACTAAGAATGATTCTGGTATGTTCCTTGAATCTCAAGCATTTAAGCATGGGCTTTCTGATTTTTAAATCTTTTGTTAATTAGTACAATGAGCAGTCTTATGGTAAAACTAATTAAGATTCTTCCTTTAAATATTATTGGACCATAAGGTTTTAATCTCTTGGAAGTGCTCAATTTCAGTCAACTGAGAGAATGAGAGGATGTTGATCAGTCTATCATACCTTGAGTAGGTAAATTGCTTCTAAGTTAAATTTGTTTCAAAGAATGGCAGCTGATGCAAAGTTGCTCATGTACTTCCAATTTGTAGGTCACTTTCTGTTGAGTTGTCATCGACTAAGCTGTACCACAGACTCCAGGGACATCTTTACCCATAGTGACTCTTAACTCCTTGAAGGTATGTCTTGCGTAGAATTATGATTAAGTTTGAAATTCATTTCAAGTAGATATGCTTTTCTTTAATTCTTATTTCTCATTTCCATTATCAACGCTACTTTGTGATGCTCTTGTAATTGACATCAAAGTTCTCATGTTTTAACAAATGAACAGCAGGGAATTCAAGATGAAAACAGAGAGAGTCAACCATGACAACCAGTAGCTAACCATGGAGATCAATGGTATAGTATTGGAGACCCAGTGG